ATCATTCGTTTCGTAGAAGTATTGGATCCAGTCCATGATAGAGTTGTTAAGCCACTGGGAAACGTGAACGTCGCCTAGAGCCAACGGATCAGATGTCGGGAGAATCGGCACATAGAATGACGACTTACCTGCTTCCCTTGAAAGGAAATGCTCTTTTGTGATGAGCCACCACCTACAAAGGACCAATGAGCTTGACTAGTACATGGCGTAGAAGAGGAAGGAACGACATACTGTTGAGTACTACCAGAGAGTATTTGTCTCCAGTAGCATATGCAACTACGTTGAAGGTCGAATCATTACCGGAAGCCTGAATACGTTTGCCCAATGTACTTCCGTCGTCAGAGGTGAAGGCCCGGGCGAAGTGGGCCATCGAATAATACTCCTGGTTAAAGGTCACTGTACTTGTTGTAACTGTGGAGATTCCACGGCAACCGTCTCCACAGCTGTTAGAACCAGGATAAGGAGAAATCCCATTGTCGGCGGAGGCGAAGATCCACATCATGCCCTGAAGAATGCGACTGAGCTAGTCGTATGAATGTCTATAAAAGGGCCACGCACCGTCGCAGTATTGTTCGCAGACCATCTTTAGAATGTCGACGACGAAATGAGTACGATAGGTTGGCATATTATAGATCAATTGACTTACAGGTTGTTTACATACCACTGGACATCGGTCCACCAATCTGAGCCTGTTGTGCCGGCGCATTCAGTCTGATACATCGGCTTTTTTAGGGTAGAAATAAGTTGTGGAAGCATGTAATGAAAGGAGAGTCAACTTACGATGTCGGGAAATTGAGCGCTGAACGCCGCCGTCTCAGATACTTGTCCTCCATAACAATGGAAACTGAGGAAATGATCAACAGAAATACTTGATGGAGAATACACAGTACTTACGCTACCCCTTCGAATGCATTCGGGGCATCATCGACCTAAAAACGACACATACGTGTCAATGGTGGAGTTCTATACAATAGTGTGGCGACACTCACCATAGGAATAGTGTACGAGCTCGTGTCATCCCAGTTGTGCTATAGAGTGTAGAGTGAGGGCATGAGTCAAGAACGTATATGTCGACGATAGCCTGTTACCTCGTAGCCGATGATCTTGATGTCGGTGAGGCTGTTGCTATCGAGCAAGCTGCGCAGGGATTTGGCAAGCGTCGCTTGTGTAGAGGCATCGATAGTGCAGCTGGGGTAGGTAGGGTTGCTGTTCTGAGGTTCGTTCTAATCGCAGGTTTGAGAGTTATTCAGCTTGACTAATAAAGTCATCATTACTAACCTGGATCGAAATCGCGGCAATGGGTAGATTCTTGGCTTTGAATCCTTGCACTGCTTTCAAAAGATATGTCGGATCTGCGATAACGTATCAGCAACCGCTAAGCCATCCGATCACTAGTGCTTACAGGAGCTGACCATATCACTTTTGAGCGACCCTCCATTCATAGTGTTGCCGTCCTTCATCCATGCTGGCTGTAGAGCAGTTTAGAAAGTGGAAGATGAGCATCTAACATCACGTACTGGAGACCAAGGAAGTATATGGATCTAACGAAGGGAAAAGGTAAAAATGACAACGGTCGGGAATGAAAGATTTGCAACTGGCCTTCACGTTCGGATTGACAGCGTAAATGTCTGCAAGCGTCGAGAAAAGATACGCCGGAGCGCTGGAGATATTGAAGGACGTGAAGGACGTATCTCCACTAGTGTCGTCTAGGCTGTACGCTACAAATGGGGATATTCGTCACTTTGGGTTATACTACTGATAGTTGTTGACATTGCTCACAGGAAGAGGAAAAGTCGGAAGCACCAATTGGAACACGCAGATAGTTCAATGCAGCGCCTTCAGTAGTGAAAGAGTCCTTCAGGAGCTTGTTGTACGCAGCGGAATTGGCGTTCTGAATATCCGACCTTGAATACGAGAACAAAGACTATTCAAAGGATGATACAGACCTTGAGGTTGTTCATTGCCAGAGCGGCCGAATCAGCTGTGCATTGGTGTTAGAGGTTAGAGACCGATCTTATGAACCAAATACAAGACGCGACGCACTTATAGAACCACCGAAACCAACCATCTGCTGATAAACCGTTGTCTCGTCAATGGCAATATCAGCCGAGCCACTTCCAGAGGCAAAAGTAGGAGCGTCGGTGATGGCTTGAAGAAGCTGACTCTGATCAGAAGAAGTAACCTGGAATACAACGAACTTGAGCCACGGTACGCGATAAAAAGAGGATACAAAACTTACAATTCCACTGATGGCCTGTCCGTGAACGGGTTGGATCCAACTAATAATGCATGCGACGAGGACAAAAAAGAGGGAGAACTCGTTGAAAAACATCATCTTCGTTATTCTGAGCTTGTTGAATGAGTGAAAAGATATAGCAGATCGATATAACGAGGGGAAGTGATAATGAGTAGGACCGGCCTAGAGACGATGGGACACTAGTTTACTGTGAAGGAAGGGAGTGAATGGGAGAGGGCCTGCCCGACGGATAGCTAAACCAGACTTATAAGTTCCTGAACCAGAGGCATGCGGAACAAAGGCCCATCAATGATCCTTTTTATATCTTTCTTGAAAGGGAATTTCGCCGCTGATTACGGGCGCTTACGAGTTTCCGTGCCGGATATTGCCGATCAAAGCAGTACGCACGTAGTGTTTCTGCGGTGCAGACTGGTGCAGAGCGCATTGATATATGAGTCGTGCTTGACTTTATGAAACCGTAGTGGCGGGAAAAGGTGTCTGAAGGACTCGGAAGGGTCTAAAAGCTAACAAGCCTCTGAACTCTGAGCCTAGGGCCTGACACGGCCTGAGGCCCAAGCTGGGACAATAATCTGTTTCATGGAATTTGAAATTGAAACGTTTAACAACACAAAGGATTCAATGACCAGAGAACCGATAATGTTAATGACCGCCCACCGACAGCCGAAAACCCCTCCAGTCCTCCGAGCATTCAATCCTGATCAGTTATCGAGGGTTCTCTAGATTTTCCTATCGTAACGCGGTCAAATAGAGATCGATCAGCACGCGTACTTCCACTCATCAGGCTTCATCATGACGGGGGCTGACAGCATACCCCCGCCGCGGCGACGCGGTATATGAGGAGCAGAACTAGGAAGACCACTATCATGCATTCAGCTAATCATTTAGTTCCTCCCCCTCCTGGGATATGATTAGCAGGTTACAATTTCAAATAGTCATGAAATCGAGCAAAAAGTACGAGTCGAAGTGTTGCTGAACCTATATCTTATATATCTCCTTGGAGAATTGAACGTCCAATCATTTGCGGGATGATTATGATCGTATCCCTGATGAACGATGATTTTCGCACCCCGTATGCATCTTGCGGCTTGGGTCCCCTTGCTTACGACCTGACAAGCCGAAAGAGAGGGATGAACGGATTCTGCATTGGCATAGTAGGCCATTTGGCTCAACGGTAGATTTGAGTTTGAGGGAGGAGGTATGATCGCATTTGAAAAACGGCCAGGACCCACACTGCACACATGCGTGGCCTTGCGTGACGTGGATGCACGGAACCAACATCATTGATAGGAGAACGGTGAGGTACTTCTATATGAGTTGTATTTGCCGTAGATTCTTCGTACGTCGAAGCGCCTTAGAACGAAGGTAACGGAGACCAACAGGCGCCCGTTCAACATCTATGCTTTATAATCATGGATGTTACATCGACTCTGTAATAACGCTATTCCTTTCATCTACAATATGTCTCTACAGGAAGATGTAACCCTTAGATCTCCTCAGAGCAAAAATATCGTCTACCTTGAATACGATCCCTCAAATTTGCCGCCCTCTTCCTCCGGTTATACGCGTTTTATCTGTATCAGCGATACGCATACGAGGCGATTTCCCGTCCCGGACGGAGATGTCCTGTTACATAGCGGAGACTTGACGAATACCGGTACCTTGCAAGAATTTGAGAGGACCATGAATTGGATTTATGAGCTTCCTCACAAGGTGAAAATGTGCATATCAATGCTCCTTCGTTCGGTTGGTTATGAGTATTGATCGCGTTAGAATTATCGCAGGGAATCATGACCTCCCTTTGCATGATGATTGGTATGAGTTAAATCATCAGAGATGGTCATATTCTGGGCATGCGAAGCCACAGGTGCGCTATGCGTGTTTTCATGTTGATCGTTGATATCAACTCGTCGAATTTAGAATCGTGAACGTATTCTCGAATTACTGAAAGGAAAGAAAGCTCAAGAAGCTAACGTCGTTTATCTACAAGACGAGAGTCACTTTTTTCAAGCAAAAGAAGGCGGAAAATTGTGGTCTGTATATGGCTCTCCTGTGAGTTCATCTAGGTAACACTATTCGGGATGAAGGTCAACTAAGATCTTGCGTTCTAGTGGTCACCGGAGTTTTATAATTGGGCTTTTGGATACACGGCTGCTGAAGGACCTTGTGCGTCCATCAGATATAAGACATAATTTGTTGAACTTATGTTCCTAAAGCGTTGATTTCCAAGTTTCATAAAACTGACATTCTGTGGGTCCCTTATTCACCCTCACTCTATATAATCCCTCATCGGCAGAGTACTTTATCAGACTTACTCATGGTCCTCCTCGTGACATCTTCGATCGCACGAATAGCGGTGACTTACCTGGCTGTCCTACTCTCGCCGCTGCTCTTCCTCATCTTCGCCCTCGATTACATCTATTCGGTCACATTCACGAGGCGCATGGAGCACATGTTCATTCATGGTCCAAAGGCAACGTCGGAAGCGTACAAAATTCAGCGCAAACGCAAGCAGATGAGCCCATGGTCGAGGACGACGAAGATGACGACGATGTCACAGTGTTCGTCAACGCTGCGAATTGGCCGATGGGGCAACGCAAGCTCGAATACCAGACCAAGGCATTCGGTAGACCCGGTTTCAGACCTGTTGTAGTCGATATGCTAGAATGAGAATTTCGAGATATCCTCTGGGCTAATTGATGGTATACTTAAAGCTATGAGTCTTACCAATCCCATCAACATATCGTCCAATGTGGTGTAGTGGCTAACATTGCTGTCTTTCATGTCATTCCAACCTTCCAAATATCCTACACAGCAGCCCGGGGTTCGATTCCCCGCATTGGAATCATATTTTAGTACTTTTTTCGATCTTTGTGTTCCTCTGCCCAGTTGTTACCCAGGCATTGTGGCGTTTCATAATCGTGCTCAAACAACAAGTCGATAATTAATTTATATAATATCATCAATCATAGATACTTGTCTCATGACCTAGCTCGAACCCTCCGAAGGCTCAAATGTGAACATTCTGATATTCTCCTCCCAATTCCTCACGAACATCATGCATGACCTGCAATACCTCCAAAGCAATGAAAACTTCATTTGGTCCACCTGGTGACTATTCTCTTTGCATATATGAGACGGATGATTTGGATCTGTGCGTCGATTCTTGAATAAATTGTAAAAGTTCAGTCCTGATAGATCCCAATTTAGCACTATACAGACCTTTACAGTCCGCTTAAAGATTCAACGCCCAAGGACGATACAGGACCATGCGGAGAAAAAGCAAAACGTAAACTCTGAGCTCATCTGAAGAGTGCTTCTCGGATCGTTCTACCATGAGGAAAAACTATAAAAGAGGGGTTCTATATCCATCGTCGAATTCCCCAGTCTACTTGGAGGTCTCCTTGTCCGTTGACAACTTTCGGGTATCACGACGATGGCTTCGAAGCTGCTTCACCTTTTCCTCTCAGTCTACGCCTCTGCTTTGCTCCTCGGTGGTAGCTTCCACGGTGTATACTCTGCTCCGGGGGGATCTCAGCGTCCTGCGCATCCAGTTCCAGTAACATTACGAACACGACAAGGCAGCGGTGATAACGATGGAATCCATCTGGCGGTCTCACCTCAGTGTGGGCCGTTGGAGGGGAAGACGACAAATGTGAATGCGGGGATTGTACCTACCTCGATCAAGACTATTGTATCTTTCGGAGTACGTTCTTTCCTTTTTTAGCTGTATCCTTGTTCTTTTTGTTCGTTTTTGTTGATGTCGAAGCTCATGAATCATCCGCTTGACACGTTTTCCTTTTACTTCCGTGTATACAGGACTCGTATACAGATGGAGGGGTTGACAATGGGTCTGCGCTTCTCCCGCCTGTTCTGATCCCGCCCAACGATGAAGCGGGTGGACGTTCCACGAACGGACCTGTTTGGATCGAAGGCGTATCAGGAGACTGGGGTGCTCATCTTATGGATTATGCGGTATGTTCCTTTGCTCGTTCTTTTCTTATATCATTTTTGTTGTAAAATTTCTCGTCATTCTGCTTTCCGGTGATTTAACTTTCGTTTTTCCGCGAAAACATCGATCCCATTCAATCAATTCATGAACTCACTCTATTCTTCGTTCCTTGCAGCAATGGGGCGCATGCACGAATCTGTCTTTGTGGCCAAGCAATCCAAGGAAAGTTGATTTCATCGATCAAAGTGAGTATCTACATGTTGACATTGCAGCTTCCTTTTTCACCGGAGCTTTCGCGATTCGCATTATTTCAGTGGCGACCTTCCTTGGCCAGTCAAACCAATTGGACCCGGATACAACGCTGTATAGCATTTTCTTTGGGATCAAGTAAGTTTTGTGCAGAATCATGACGTGTTCTTAATCTCAATCGTGTCTCTATCTCTTTCAGTGATTACATCGCTTCCCTCAGTAAGATTCAAAGTCACCCAACTAACAACCTTTTTTCATGCTCATCCCGACCGCGTTTCGTCTACAGTTGATGGCGACCACATGCCTGAAGCTGCACAAACCATTCTGAACGAAATTCAGACCCTTTCCAGTCCGCCTACCAACGGAAAATCTTTCCTTGTTGTTGATGTCTATGGACGTGGAAACACCTCTACATGGGGAGAAGCCTACAAACAGCAAGTATTTGATGGTCTCAAGGCGTTCCATGAGGGATCTGCGAAGCTCAATGTAGCTTATGTTGATATGGCGGCGATCTGGGATGGGGTGCTTGGACCTAATCCTGGGTGAGCAAGTTCAATTCAGAAGCTTGTGGCTGACCACAATCTCTGACTGGATCTTTAGGTATCAAGCCTTTGGGTATACGAGCACCGCAGCGTGTACAGTCTGTACTGAGGATTGTAACCAATACGGGTGGTGCATGGATCCGGAGCATTACTTTTACTGGATAGATGGGTGCGTGAAATATACTAGTCTGCTGGACACCTATACTCATCATCGAACCATGAATGGTGAAATTCAGTCATCCGTCAAAGGAAACCCATCGGATTATGGCTGATTGGGTTGAGGAAGTGCTGCAGAGTTGTAAAGCGTAGATGTAGTCTTTGTAGTCTTCGTATTTTTCATATTTTATGACAGACGCATCACCGGAATAGGCCTGAGATACATTTCAAGAGTACAGCAGTACTGTCACTTCCAATGAATTTCAAGCTCCAAACAAGCTTCAACGTTTAGAACTTGTAGCTGGAGGAAACATCGCATTCAATTTATTGCACTGCCACAGATGTTCGTTTGAAAAAAAAATTGGCGCCGAACTTCATTTCAATCTTAGCTAGCTTAGCTCTTGAAGCTTGACCGGTGACCTTACAAATTTCAAAGCGTAGAGGCAAGGGTAAGTAAAATGTTGATCTGCTACAACATGAGCTGAAGACTGCTGAGGACCTCTGAAGACCTGCTATTATCGTGGTGATAGCCGTCGGGTCTTTCCTGAAATTCTGATCGTCCAAGTGCCCGGCCGGGCTAGAATATTAAGAATGTGTATCTCAAAGCCTCCTCATAAAGCGGCTGTTACTCGGCCTCCGGTTCTTCAGGTTGAGAGAGAGACTGTACCGCCTATGAACTCAGTAAATACTGCATTCGGCAGCAGTAATAATTCTGGTTTGGAGAAGAAAAAACGTGAGGGGAACGAATGCGAACCTGAAATTTCCCGTCGAAGTATCGGGGTTGTCAATAAGGAAGATCAAGCAAACTCAGGTAGACGTTCCTCAATATCTCACTTGATGGCCTTTGGCTCAAATTTGGACACATAGTTGACACTTCATCTCACAATGATAATAGCCCTAGTGGAACGGAGCAGGTAAAACGCAAAGGTGAAGACCACAAACCAGAAATTCAACCCCGTCGAAGTGGCAGGATTGTCAAGACATTGAAGGAAGATGGTTCAGTTCCAAGTAAATCAAGTTTTCTAACTTCGACACTGCTGGACTTTGCCTGATACATTTAGTGGTCACTTCATCCAGCGATAGCATAAGCTCTAATGTCACAGAACAGAAAAAGCGTAAGGGTGAAGAATACGAACCAGACACTCCAATTCGTCGAAGTACTAGCTCATTGAAGAAATTGAAGACAGACGATGCAGCTGTAGGTAAATCGTGTTCTTCTGTATCTTACACTGGAATTTGGCTCATATATATATCGCCCACTAGCGCCTGCTCCAGCCACAAAATCAAGGAAGTCATCAAAGTCAGCAAAATTCGAAGACGCGAAGAAATTGGACGTTTCCAAGGATCTCAAATAACCTCTGTCAAAACCGGCCAAGAAAAGCATCCAGGACACAACAAGCTCATCGTCCAGTATGAATCAGTTGAAATCCAAACCTTCGCTAACCACATCTCAACCTTTGAATTCACAAGTTCCATCTGTGCACACTCCTGTAGGTCAATCAATATCAACGCCGTCACAATCAAATGCCGTATCTCACGTACCACCCACTCAGAAGGCTCCAGCCTCAGAAAAGGACTCAGTATCCTCAAACTCTGGTCCAAGACCCTCTGTAAAGCCTTCTACTGGATCCCAATGCTCCAATCCTACTGCTCCCACAGCACAACCCACTCAGGTGCTTATCCACGATGTAAAGTCATCGGTTCGATCGGTCATGCCCCGGGCTGGATTGCCTCCAGGACATCAGGAAAACCTCCTCCGGCAAATTTGGCATTAATATTTGGTAATTATTCAAAATCTCGCTAATTGGGCTTATTAACTGGAATTATCAAATTTGTAATTGCTCTCAATAAAATTCCAAAAAGTTTTCAGAAACTTATTGGAAAATTAGTACAGGTTATTTGGTTATTCAGTTTTGCTTCATCTGCAAAACCTGGATATTCGGCTAAGGGTTGAGAGCAGATCCCAGCAGATCCCAGTGCTGAAAGCACCGAAAGCAACATGCTCTGGGTGCTTTCACTGCTGGGAAGTGCTCTCGACTGCTTTCGGACCCTTAGCCGAAAATACAGGTTTTGCAGATGTTGAAACTTCGAAGTTAGTTATACTAAACACAAGGTATTATACTTACTGTTCCTCCTGGTGATTACTGTACTTTACCCTGGTTCAGCTCATGATGTCTTTGGCAACCTGAAATGATTGATACCTTGACCCAATGCGCATGCCGGTGTAAGACTAAGTCAAAAAAACAACTAAGTGTTAAGCGCTGGTGCGTTGACTCTGCTGAGCGCTGTCGGAGTTTAAACGGAATAATATAATTATAAATGGTTCGATTTCAATATTTTGCCTGCCTCCTTCACTCTTGTTCGTTCACCCACGATGCGTGTCCTCATTCTCCAGCCACAATTTCCTGCACCTTATGTCATGGCATGCTTCCTCTTATATTGAATTGTTGCTGGATTTAAGACCCCAAGGTGTGTGCTAGTTCTCTATTACTTTTTGCAACTCATATGTATCCAGCTTAACTGTAGTTTCTTGTTGTCATGGATTTCAGTCTTTCAAGGGGGTTTATAGATGTGGGGTGTATCCGTTTTCTTCACATGTAAAACAACCTCCTAATGCATTGTAATCTTTCCCTAGTGACTCTCAATAAGTATATGAGTGTTTCGAAGTTGTGTCAGTTTTGGATTTGTACACAATGATTGTAGATACTGAGTATATATGTAGAGTAATCCATCGAGGTTTTAATTTGTTGATTTCTCGGGCTGTAAATAATAGTGTAGTGTACATACGGTTGTAGTAGGGAATAGTCATTGTGAATAAACATGCGATTGTAGGCCACTGCACTATCGTGCATGGCAAAACTCGGCTGGTTTTTTTTGTTGTATTGAATAAAAATAGGTAACTTATTTGATAATTGATGTCTGCCATAACTAATTGTCAGTCCTGGA